GGGGGGGGGGGGGCGAGCAGCATTAGCGTTAGCATAGAGGGCCTGCAGAGGGATTCTGGGAGTATGGGTGTATGGGGGGGGGGGCATTCTGTGGAGAGCAAGGCTGTAAAAGGTTCCCCTCTGAAATTTAAGTGTCAGGCTTTATTCTTCTGGAAAATTCCTCCCCCACGTCTGTGCGTCTTTTGATTCATATTATGAAAGGAGGGGGAAAAAAAACTCATATGTTTGCTGTACATCACTGCTGGAGTGTGAATACAGATTGGGGGGGGGGGGGCGTAGGCTCAGTGCCCGGTCTGACGGCAAATCCGGCGCCACAGGTGGGTCCGCAGACGGGTGCCGGGAGGGCAGATGCAGGTCAAGGGGCGGCAGTGCCCGCATCTGACGGCAAACGGAGTGAAAAAGACTGAGGACAACCGGTAATGTGGAAGCAAGCCATGCGGCGACTTCCACGAAAGCGAAGCCATGACATTTTTTCATAGAGCTGTTTATAATGGCACTAAGAATAGCCTGGGTAAGATGAATGACGTTTCGATAAAAAAAAAGAGCTGTATTAGTATATTAGCGGAGATTTCTTGGTGAAACCCTTGATTTGATGAGTGGTGGGATAGATCAACAACAACAGACCCCTCAGGGAACTGAAACGTATATTAAAACTGTACCTTAAATCACTGTGACCTTGCTGGAGAGGTTGTGTAAGATGCGGATGGATGTATTTTGAGTCAAATGATAAATTGAAGGTGTCTGACTTGGCAGAGAAAAGGGATTCGGTTCTGCAAAGAACAGCGACCTGAATGGGGAGTGATCCTGCTTTAACAAAGAGTCCACATGGTAGCTCGCTCACGCAGCGTGTGTTCGCTAACAAATTGGCCTGTCAAGAAAGGATCGAACACGCCTTGCAGATAAATATATCTTTAATGGCTTGTTAGAGTAACAAGGGCATAACACATCTAATACAAATGGCAAAGAAACAGAAATATACATCTCAGGGCCTCCACCTCTGCAAGCTTTTACATCGACCAAGAGATTTTATTTTTTAAAAAAAGCATTTGAGAGTTCTGCAAAATATTTTTGTTTGTGTGTAATAATCCAGCAAGAGAAGCTTATAATCTCCTGTCCAAAAAATGTACAGCCCTGTGGTTATATAAAACATTGCACATTATCATACTTGAAAACAAGTCCAAGTGTGACTATCTTACAGAAAGGCACGAGTTCGTTTGGTGGTTCGGTTGGGTTTGATTTGGTCCGATTCCGGGTGGGGATGTGAAAGGCCGCCAGCGGCCCTTTGGGACACCCTACTGGCCCGTAGCAGGGGATTGGAGAGGGGCAGCCTTGGCTTAGCATCCTCAGGTCCTGGAGCTGAATAAAGGCAGCTTGGTTCTGCTTCTTAAGTAAGGCACTACTGTAACGTAACAGTGACCTTGGTGCCCTGTTTCTGCTCACCAGCCAAATAAGTCAAGTTTTCCGGTAATACGTTATAATTTTGTGTTTTCACGCAGCAAGGCAGGGATTGGGAGATCGCCTCGTTACACGGCTTTTTTTCTTTCAGAACTACTTCGCTGACCTTAGCTTTCCGCTCCCCGCGTCCACGCTCTGAATACGCCGGCGGCAGCAGCTGAATAAATACTGAAGGCTTTAGCGAAGGCTTTGCCGTGGTCTTCCTCCGCTCGGCGTGGTCTGTAGCCAGCTGGCAGAGCCGGCTTCGGTCAAACCGGACCGGCGGATCGACGGGAGCGTTCGGGGCAGCGGGGTCGGCGAAGGCACCGGAGAAGACTGATGAGGTGGAGCTGCTCTGACTCTGCAGCTCGCCCGTGGCGTCGCCGACGCGTGTCGGTGGGGGGGTCGGCGGTTGTGGGGGGGGGGAGGCGGGCGCCCTTCAGCGGCTGCTGCACTGGCTCCCACGGCTGCTGGCCGAGCGCGAGGTGCTGTAGCGCTTCTTCACGATCATGCTGATGTAGGCCTTCATGAGTTTGGCGATGTCCACCACCTGAAACGGGCGAGAGTGACGTCACAGGCCTCCTGGCCGCCGTTTCTAAAACTGCAGTAAATTCACCTCTGGGTGTCTGCAACTCTCTGCTACGTGGAGAAGGTGCAAAAACCAGGGGCAAAAGCCCACGATGCATGAACAAACCCAACAGCCATTTAATATATTAACGACTGGAGGATGAACGTTAAAGGCTCCGAACAACACAATACAGTTTTATTCTGCTGAGATGCAGCGATTCATTTTTGTCCTCTGTAGAGGACATTATGTTTTCACTCATACCTCTGATTCTATACATGCCTTCCTATTAAGTTCCTTTGTCCCTTAAGTTCCTATTAAGTTCCTATGGCCCTAAGCGTCCACTTAAAGAGGACGCTTAGGGCTTTATCACTTATGGGTGCATGACCTTGCCAACATCTTCCTGTCAAATCAAAATATTTCTCAATATATATATTAAAAAAAACCTTTTGGCTGGGTGGGGCACGTACCAGGCTGGTGTCGAACAGCAACTCCCGGCCCACCACCGTGATCTTGTAGGTGTTGGATTGGGGGGCGCCGAAGGAGAGGACCTGCTCGTAGGGGAAGACCTCCAACGGCCGCGGCTCGCCGCGCTTGTACACGGACACGGCTTCGGCGCTGACGCCCAGCCACAGCTCCTGGGGGAAGGTGGCGTCCCGCGACTGCGGTCGGGGGGGGGGGCGGGGCGGAGTCATTATGACACCACGCAATCATCGTGCGCCACGCTCCTCCACACGTTTAAATTTAAACACGCTGTCTGGCGGAGGGTTCATCCGGCGGTGATTAAAGTCATGCACTGATGACAGGGCAGAAGGAAGAAAGGGCCCAGCTGTCTGAGACAGGCTACAGATGCGTTTGGCAAAATGTAAAACACGCTTCGGGTGTGATGTTCCCTGAACGAGGGGACGGCGTGTACCGGAATGTTCCTTCTTCAGTGCAGATACTGCACAAGAATTGCTAATCGTCAATCCGGTTTTAACTGGTTCATTAGCAGTTTTGAAGAAAAAAGAAAAATATGCTATTTCTCCAAATTCCAGCAATGCAAAACAAATCTGGTCATTACAATTCTGGGTTAGGTCACATTCAACCTGTCTTGTTGTTTCACTGATTTTATACTTTTTAGGGAAAACAATAGCTAGCTAGCAAACTGCTACAACAAAAGATTCAAGTAAAAGGTCATTTCATATTAACTGCTCTGCTGTCGTGTTGCGATTTCAGCGGCAAACCCGACAGTTCAGCAGCACTGAGCCCGTTTTAACAGAAGGAGCAGACACTACCCCATAAAGGCTTTTTCGTTCCTTGTTCCCCGATCTTACGCAAATGACGAGTCCCTCTAAGTGAAAAGGGGTCTACATTCAAGAGATTCATTCCATTTAAGTGGCATCAATTTGGCAGAGCTCTTCAGCTCATTCAGAATGCAGATTAAGAATTTAGAGCATTTAGAACTTAGAGAATGTAGAATTTTGAACAGAGTTTTGATCCCCAAGGGTGGGGAACCTGATCCATGTGGGTCTGGGTTTTTGGGATGACCTTTCAATCCAGGGGACCCACTGTTATTGGCTGATTGAGAGGCCATCTTAAAAACCTGCACCCACACCGGCCCTCCATGGATCATGTTACAGTAGGGGAGGGGAAGCTAACTGTGATCATTTTCTGGTAAATACAGCTGAATCACATTGAGGAGTTCACAGGTCAAACAGCCGGCACTTCATTTAGAAAGATGAGATGGAATGAGAAGCTCTCCTCACCTCCACGCTGAAGAGGGTGGAGCCGTAGCCGGGCCACTCCCTGACCAGCGCCATGTACTTCACCATGGCCTGCTCCTGTGTCATGGAGCGCAGCCTCTTCCACTTGTCCAGCAGGCTGGTGCGGGCGGCGCCGATCTCCTCCCTCACCCAGGCCTCCAGGACGCTCTCCTCCTCCAACCTCTGCCGGCTGACGGAAGGCCCGCGGAAGCTGCGGCGGAGGGTGCCCTCCAGGAAGCTGGACCGCTTCTTCTCGGCCCGCTCGGCGCCTGTGGGGCCGAAGGCACGGGCCGACTGCTGGATCCGGGCCCGGAGCCGGTCCATGGGGTACAGCTGGCCCATCTCAGGCACCGACGGTTGGGCACTGAAGTCTCCCAGGAGGTACTGGAGGCGCAGGGCGGCCAGGAACTGCAGGGTCTCTTCGGGGGCCGGGTACTGGCCTCGGATCACCGCCTCGTGGGCCTGATGGGGCAGCAACATCCATTAAGCAGGGGGCTAGTTTTCCCCGAGGGCCAAATGATGACTTTACCTAAAGGTAAAATTAGCTTGGGATGGAATTGATCATTCAATTGAATCTGCTAATTGGTGACCAGCGGGCATGTGTCAAAGTGGGGCTGGGGGTGCCTGAGCAGCCGGCCCTTTAGCCCAAACGACTGAAAGTACCCCCCCCTTTTGAGGTTCTGAATGCCCCAGTCTTGATAACTGATGATCTGACAGGCAGGCAAAATGACAGCCAGGGTCAAATTTACCAATTAACCCCTAAGCCACAGGCACCTGTCCCTTGGAAACGGGTGACCTCGGCATTTTGAGATGCCGTAAGAGTTAGCACCCAGAATGCACTGGGGCTAAAACACATTTGCAGTCACTTTAGCTT